GATCAAGGAGAAAAAAGAAGATGATCGGCTGCAAGAGTGGAAATCGTTGTATAATCAAGTGGTCGATGCTCTTCATGTTCTGGATTGCACGCGAAATCTCTTATAAAAGAGGTGATTGGATTGTAAACATGATAAGGAAATAGAGTATTCCATATGTCTACTCGTCTCAGAAAAACGAGAGAAGACTTGCCCCATTGTACCATGCTATCCATTATCTCAATATGCTCGAGAACTGGCCAGTTATTTGGATCGAACATGCAATCTTCACTTGGATTGAGTGGCAATTTCCGGCGCTTGACCTCTTTATAGGAGAGATACTTCACCGACTTTGAGGACAGTAAACCAACTAAGTCGACTGGGCAACTTAGCTCAAGTTTCTTAACACAAAGTGGGATTCGAACATCAGGATTCGGTATAACCGTAGATCCGTAAAAAGATAGATGTAAATTTTCTCTAGCAAATACTTCATTGCCGGAGAAGAATGGAAAAGGTTGCTGTACGCCTTCAATCGACAGGCTTAAATCCTTTAACTTTGGCATAATGTGGAGCAACATTAACGATATTCTGTCAATGTTATTGGCCAATTGAATGTAGCGGGTAAGGGCAGTCCAGGTTCCTGGTCCAGATTCCGTCAATCTGAAAATTCTGATCTTCAATGACTGCACACCCATGTTAAGGGCCAATGGCTGTACAACTGAGACGTGATCATCTGGTGTGAGACGAAGATGTAATCTGATGTGTAAAAGTTTAGATAACCCAGGAAGAAGATTGGCGATATTGTTGAGAGCCTGGAGATAGATTGAAATCTCTAATATGACTAGAGATGGGAGGAGTGACAAAATGGGCGATAAAATGATATCTTCACGTCTAAAACAGGCTACCTCTGTCCAACCAAGAGAAGATTGGGCACGAGAGATCAAATCTGTTTCCAGTTCTGCCACTCGAGGCCTATTTTGAGTAGTGTTTCCACCACGGGACAGAAATCGAACCTTTTTGAGAGATTTAATTGTTCTAATTACTGGGAATAGTGTCTTTAAATCCTCCCATGTGGTCAATGTGCTCGTTCTCATTCGATCCTTGGCCATCCGGAGATCATGACTGCTGATAGAAAAGTCAGTTATGTCTTCCAGGGATGGAAAACTGTCCAAAGTCTTTTTAAGGTGCTGAAATGCCGTACGCTTCGGAGAAGCGTCTGCTAGCTTTCGCAAATTGGGAAGTGATCCTAGATCGTTCAACATTGCCCAAAGGTTGTTTGTTTGTCCCTCGATTCTGGGTGTAGAAGATAAAGACTGTACCTGATGAGACAGTATTGCCTCTATTCTTCCACGGTGTTGTATCAATTCCCGCTTGATATACTCCCACCCGTTGAGGGGGAAGGTGACTTCGACGGTGAGAGGTAGATCACGAGATAATATCAACTGTAGAGAGGTCTTGGCATGCATATCACTTTGATTGAAAAGTATTATAGAATTCCATAGGTGTGGTTCTGATAAGATATAGTTTCGCCACTTTGTAGACACCATTGTGAGCATGAATAAATCGTCAAATCTCTTGGTGATATGCCGCCCATTACGAAGTTCCAACAGAATTTTTGTAAGGATTTCACTTGGAAGTCGGCCCACTGGATCGATTCGCTGACTAATTTCCAGATCATGAAGAGCATCGACCACTTGATTATACAACGATTTCCACTCTTGCAGCCGATCATCTTCTTTTTTCTCCTTGATC